ATGAACCGATCTTGAATAACCTTTTTGCAATTGGTTTTCTCGTATGTTTAGACCGTATTACTTATGTAACACTTGAAGCTGTTCTATTTTATGGTTTAAATTCAAATATTTTCATTCTAATCACCATCTCTTCCTTCATAGCTGTATTTCTTTTAAAGCCAAATGTATGTTTGAACTAGACAAACTCTCATTTCTTCATTATCTATACTTATAAAATTTTTGATTCTGACTAACTATTACTGATACACAGCCAAAATTAGAAAACTAAATTTTAGTACATAGATTTATTTTATATTGAAGGAATCCGCTAAGAAAGAATTTTTGAATAAACGTTTTTAAAGATTTCAACCTAAAGAGGAAGCATCAAGCATCAAGCATGAAAAGCCACAGTCAACAGCTAATTATCTCATAAGTGTATAGCAATCTTAGTTTTGATCAAGTAAAATTCAAGTTTAGTATGGGATTCGACATTAAATATTTTTAAAATCTAATTTTATGTCACGATCGAAGTTATTTGGATCTTATCCAAAATCAATGGAAACGTCTGACTCTGTGATTAATCAGAACTTAGACTTTTATCTTTTTTATTTTAAAATGCTCCAATATTATTATTTGTATCATTGGTTATTTACTGCTAAATACTAAAATTGGTCTCCAGATACATACATTCATAGTCTTTCTGCAGTACATTAGGATGAAAAAAGATTGGCAGATTATTTACCAATTAATATTAATCCTTTCTTGCAACATAACAGAAAATGCTCTTAACACAGATTATGCTGACATCCCCATAACATCGTTTCTTCTTTGAAAACGAATGCTAAGCCTCTTGTGTGCTTATTGCAATGAAGGCTCCTTCAAATATAACACCACAGTCATTACTGCATCACATTAGGATTAAGGATATAAGGTTACTTGATTACTATTATCTATTATAATTTCTCAACTATTAGTATGCGTATGCGAGAGATAATTTACTGATAAGGAAAGTCATGAAGTCCTCCAAACTAGTTATTGACAGTAATTCTTTTTTAATGGATGAAAACACAATGGTGCACTCACCTATGCTAATAGTGTAAAATGGCAGGTTATTAATTGATAATAAAACAGTTAAGATGAATTCAGATCAACTAATCTAAATTCATCTTAATTGTTTCTAATCTTAATTCAACCAACTGGTTGAAAGACCAAACTAACACTAAGTATCCATCTACTAAATCTAACATTTAAATCTATAAATTTTTTTTTCTCTGAAAGAAGAAATTTGAACTGCATGCATCATTTAAAGACCGATTGCTTAACATGTTTCTAAAATAAAAGAACGGGACCGTACAGAATTTTATTCTCGCATAACGCAGTCGCTAACGACTCTAACTGTAAAGGGTCCTTAATTGAAATGAAATTGACGTTTACAATCCACCCACGGGTCTCTTAATTGCTATGCAGTTCGCCACGTAAGCCATTCTGGGCTATTCTGAGCCATTCTCGGTCATTTCTGCCTGCTTTCGCCTCGGTTTATACCATTTTTACTGTTCAGCAGTTCCCTTGCAAAGTATTCGTCTGAAATGCAGAAATGTTTGTTACAAAAAGTATATTGTTTATTTACGAACCTGTGAACATGTCGCTTTTGAATATCATATTTTTTATATATAAATGAAGACAAACTTGTTCTTTTTTTATTTTTTAAAAGAGCTTTTGAAATAAGGTGAAATTATCCAAACTCATAATTTCTTTACACGTCTACGTAAAAAAGTAGTGTAATATTTTCATGGTTCATGTATGCATGTGAGTTTGTTTGTTCCACCATAATTCCTAATTTCTTGAATAGACTATAATAAATGGTGTATCGTTTGAATTCCAATATCATCCCAAGTGACACTCGCTATATTTTTTTATAGTTTGTTTTTTATTTTAACAAAGCAGTCATATTTTTTTATTTTCTGAGCAAAATTACTTATCTTTTCGCGTTTACCACACTGATAATGCATTCGTCTTTATGAGATAAATAATAATAATTTGTTTCAACTAATATATTAGCTTTCTATCAATAATCTAGAAAGTGTTTAATTCTAAGATTACAACTCACAGCCACAGAAATTATTTGTAAACTTCTCGTCTCCTTGCAATTAAAATTTGTTCGTATATTTTATTACAAGGTCTGTCGCTATCAAATGTCAAGTTTAATACTTATGATTATTCAAATAAGAAACTTCGAGCGCCCGACGCAAAGTTCAAATTAAATTGGCAAATTGACAACATACAAGTACCAAAACAACTTACAAATTCTCTAAGGAGAACATGCAAAATAAACGCAATAGTAGTAACCAGGACACGTATCAAAGAAATGGCAGTTGTAAAACTCGAAGTGTAGTGCCATCATAAAATGGCCACTTGCAGGTAAATCAGATTTGATGACAACGGAGGATACACCTAGCTTGTTTAGCAGGGTCTACTTTGCCTCGAAATGCTTAATTCGCCTCCTTTATACTTTAACTGTCTGGTAAAATTTCCAATTCAGGTGTATTTAGTAATCCCGTAACTTTAAGATAGTCAAAGTCGAAATAAACTTTAGGCTAAAACTAAACCTCTTTTTCACCATAATTTTTACGATTCTGCTGTGATTTCGGAAAGTCGTTTGTTAAGAACTACAAAAAACTCTAAAGACGTGGTGCAGCTGTCATAAATGACTGCGCTAGTGGTAATTTCTGTGGTACGTGAACATAAGTAAGTACGATTTTTATGATCAAGTCTAGAAGTCAGAAAGCTACCTGTTGCATCAGTTCACTATTTTAATTAAACCATTTAATTGCTTGGCAGTATTGTAATAGCTACTGAAATGCTTACAACTTAAGGAGTAGATAGAGTAATCTCACAGATCTTATCAGCTATTTCGGCTAATTTGTCTAACGGTAAATCAAATTAGATAGATGATTCGACCACAATGTCGCCAAAAAATCTAACGGCACGGGTAAACCAGGAAATCTGATGAAATGATGCAGAAACAGGGATGGCTTGCGATCGCCAAACTCAATTAATCAACAACTCGCTTTACCTGTGATGCTGAGAAGCATTTCATTAGTTCGCATTTAAATTTTTCGTACTTGTTTAAAGAAAGTGGATTCATGACAATATATTTCATTTCTGTGACACATGGATGGCCTGAGCTACTAGATAGGTAAATTTCGTTCAGACACCGCCTTATAAATATATATATATATATATATATATATATATATATATATATATATATATATATATATATATATATATATATATATATATATATATATATATATATATATATATATATATATATTTATAAAATCTTGTTAAATGCGTATTTACTAACTGTAATCCCAATACAATCTTTAGAACGTTGGTCATACACCAGTATGTGAAGAGTCGGTTGACTCCTGCCGAAACCCCTTCCACAAGATAAGATTTTTATATAATGATAATAGTAGAAGAAATAAGTAGAATAGTAGAGTTGATAGCGATATTTATAAACATTAAGAATTTATAGAAAATAATAAAAAAGACTGCAATATGATCCCGGCAAAAAATGGGCGACCTTTTCCATGGGCGTTGTAAGAGGTGACTTAGGAAACTTAACGGTCGAAGGATAGGCAGCAGCGTCCCTCTTAAAATAACACCAAAGGCTAATTGCAATTGTTAACCAAAAGTCAATGGCTGATATGATGATGATGATTATATCCTAAACATAATTATTAACTGGTCTCGGCATAGAATGCGCTAACTTTCTATTCCGTGGGTGTAGTAAGAGGCGACTAAGAGAGAACGAGGGATAGGCAGGACCTCTTAAAGCATCTTTAAAGCCTGACTGCGGTTGTCATTTCGACTGCCAAGCGTAGCAACTACTGGCAAAACCTCCGAAGGGGGAAGCTTATGTTCAGCAGTGAACAGTTAAAGCTAATATGATGATAGTTATTAATTTATTCGTATGTACTTATTTTGGGAGCTTACTTTAAGTTTTACTTATGAAATTATGCTGCTACGTAGAAAAATCTTGATACATAGATACACAATGAAAATCGACTAATAAATCCGAAAGTAAACAAGAGTCAATGAGTGAACGACCAAAGCCGATATTCCTACGTGCTTCCGTAACGCCATTCACCATAGATACATTCGTTTTGATGACCCAGGGGAACATCTTGGCTTTCGTCCAACAATCGTCAATCGATTGCTGATATTAAGATGCTTTCACATAGGGATCGATTCAACTATTATAGTCGTAGGTATGTTTTGTGAATAATAAATTTAAATAATAGATCGTAATAAATTATTATTTACTCATAATTAGAATTCATTACTTACCTTAGATATAGTGGTTATCCAGAAAAAAAAAACAGTCCTTAACTTTTCCATTCCAAAAACTAATTATATGCCAAATTTTATAATGATTATAATTAATTAATTAATAATCATAATTAATAATGATTATTGAACATCAAACAAACTGACTTTCACGTTTACAATATTAATAAGCTGTTGCTGTATGGTCCCGACACAGAATACCCCCTTCCCTCTTTACCCCTAGATGTCATAAGAGGCGACTAAAGGAGGGCGAGGGATGAGCGTCGTTCTTAAAACATTTCCAAAGCCTAACTGCGATTGCCAATCCGCCTGCCAAGCGTGACAACTACTGGCAAAACCTCCCAATAGAGGGAAGCTTATGTTCACCAGTGAACACTTAGAGGCTGAGATGATGATAATCATGAATATTAGTAAGGAATAATTCCTACCATACTAATATCATAAATGTAAAAGTGAGTTTGTTATTGCCTTATAGCGCCTTAACGACCAACCAAACACAATGAATTTCGATGTAAACATGTTATATAGGATAGAAAAGGATACAGAACACTTTTTATCCCTAGCCAGTAAACATATCCCGGTCACAAGGACGAAGTCCTAGGTAATAACAAGTAATAAAATTTTAGTAAGAAGCAATAATAATTTTGTCATTTTTGTTTCAGAATTTAAAAGACCAGATCCTAACGACTAACGTATGGTTAGAACATGTAAGTGAATTTATATAAATAATAGTAACAATAAGTTAACAGTTTAATTTTATTTATTTGCAGTTATATGAAATATTGGAATGATCTCCATTAAAAATTGAGTAAAACAGATTAAATTTTAACTGTAAAGAAAAAAAATTGGTAATATTGAAATATATATTTAACTCATTTGTATCAAATTTATCTCTTTTGAAGATTTAAAAAAAAATGAATAAAACTTGTGTTTTGAGAAGTCCCAATGCGTAAAACTGGAATAATTAATCAAGCATTTCCAATTCAAATTATTATGTTAGGTAAATATGAATTTTTAATATGAATTAATTCAATTTCCTATACATAATCATTTTAAAAATTGATATTATTATTGTTATTATTTTATACAAGCGTTCCGGCTCGGCTTCGCACGGGTAATTGGAATTTTCGAAAATAATATATAGCATATGTTACTCGCTGATAATGTAGCTTTTTATAACATGAAAGAATTTTTAAAATCGGTTGAGAAAAATTTTTTACTTCATCCATTAATAAATTAAATAATTAAATTTTTCCTCTCTATAATATAAGTATAGGTTTTACATTCATTATACTTTCCGTTATATAGGAATGGGAAGATCACAAATTTAAATGGGACCCATTGGAGTATGGCGGAGTGAAGGAATTATATGTCCCTTCTGAACACATTTGGCTACCTGACATCGTACTTTACAACAAGTAAGTATAGTCTTTTTTTTTTAATTTAAAAACATACTTATTTCATAATTAAAATAAAGTAAATTTTATTTCATCAATACCTAGCAGAGTTAATAATTAAACTCAATTTTAATTAACTATTAAAATATAAAGCTATATCATAAATTATCAATGTAATAACTAGCGGTTTAACTTACGTGTAATTTGATTGAAAAAACTCGACTAGTTTTAGGCTCGCGCTCCCATCACAATCGCTCATGACTAAGGATCACGAATTGATTCCGAAACTAGTCGAGTTTTTTCAATATAATTACACGTTGCAAGTTAAACTGGTACTTACTGCATATAAACATAAATTATTAAGGTATATTATAAATTGTTAAGCCATATCATATACTATTAAACCGTAATGAGTTGTATTGAGCGTATTATTCATTATTAAATAAAACCAGGTATTTTATTATTAAGCGACGCTTATTTTATTTACAATTATTGTCTAAAACCCCTTTTGGAAGCGTTATTAAGAATTGAATTCATAGTACCAAAATCTGACAGCAGAAACAGCAATAATAAGACAATATTTAAAGCCATTGCTATATTAAAAATGATAAATCCAAATTGTAAATTATTTAGCCATATCATATATTATTAAGCCATAATCTATACTATTAAGCCATATTATAAATTATAAAGTGACATCACAAATTATTATACCTATATTATTTTATCCGTTAACTGTCAACTGCTGAACATAAGCCTTCCCCAGAAGGGTAGTTTTGCCAGTAGTTGCCACGCTTGGCAGGCTTGTTGGCAACCGCAGTTAGGCTTTTACAGATGTATTATTATTAAGCCACGTTTAATTCATAATTATTGTCTAAAACCCCTTTTGATTGTTTTGGTAGCTGCGAACACAACTTTAGAAATGCTTATAACTAAGTATTCGTCAGACTCTATTAAGAAATGAGGTTAAACATCGTTAATAGAAGTTATCTCCTCGGTAAACTGTTATGCTGACATAAGCGATTCTTGATTTAGAGGGCACGAACTATCCCGGTTGTTCTTTGTAGATAACACAGTTGTTAAACAAAGTCAGAATTTTGGAAGTAAATACGGGTAGATAAGTACTCTTATATCATTATTAATATTACCATTTTATTATTACGAACTTATGTCTTTTGGTGTAGAAAATATTACACAGCAATGTATGCTCGTGTAGGTCTATTAAGGATTCAAATATATCTGTAAACCACTTTTAGCACTACTTCAAAAAAAAATGAAAAAGCTGTTTCATTTTAAACAAAAATAAAATAGTAATTTCCATGTTTTGTAGTAAAAAAAGAAAACTTAATTTTTGTTACTTTAACCTAATAGCCTATCAGATGCTGCCTTTTTTTAAGTCCAAGCAAACTCCTAGACAAGCGGAGTTAGATATATAGATATATATTACATATTTTTTGCTGTACGATCATTATTCTAAAAGTTACAACTCGTTGAAAATAACCCATAAATTTGGATTTTTTTTTATATTTCCTTTAATTTTTGTGACTGGTGTATATATATATATATATACCACTGAGGTTGCAAACAAGCATACGGCCCACCTGATGGTAAGCGGTTATCATAGCCTATGAACCCCTGCAATACCAGGGGCATTACGTGCACGTTGCCGACACTGAAGAAACCTCTTCACCCCCTTTTGAAGAACCATATGCTATATACATACATTAGTCTCTTGTGAATACCTCGGCAGAGAATTCATTCCATAACCTGAGTGGCCGTGGGCATCATGTTGAACTATTCCTCTTAGCACAATCCGTTGTACAAATTCGTTTCTTTGCGGATATAAATTATTAATTTACTTCAATATTATAAGAGTTAAAACAATTTCATCATAACATAACAATAACTCTAAACATTTCAAACAGCGCCATCTATTCTGGAACTAAGCAAAGTTTGTACTTCTATGACTTGATCTATTTTGTCAATTTCAATACAAATTTCTATCGTGTGACTGGCACTAAACAATGTCCAATTACCACATCTCCCAGACAAGTTGGGTATGCAACAATGCAATTTGGTGCAACCTAATGTGCCTTGCTCTTGAAGTTTCTGGGCGCTTTGCCCGGATTAATTTGTATATTGCATAACTCGATATCTGATGTTGGAACGAATCAATTTCAGCTCTAATGAATTTACTTCCGTTACTTTATCCCTGATAACAAATATCTATTATTGATATTGTTAATATATTAAAGTATTAGTGATATTCTATATAACATATCAGAGTATGATATATATTGCTTGTACATATAAGCTGTTTGGACATACAAAATAATAATATAAAATATTCCTTATTAAGAAATAAGAGTTCACTTATCTATGTGTATGTGTGTATATATATAATAATTACATGTATTACATTATTAATAACTCTAATTAGGGTTTTGCAATTATTTTAATTGTTGCTTTTTTTAACCGATGCTGAAAATTATGCTAAATTATGAACTTTGATTTTGATTATGAAAATTGTGCCGAATTTGACCATTTAAATGTATCTTAATTACAAAATAAATAATCTTTGATAAATTACTGACAATGTAATATTTTGAGAATAAAACCATAATTCAAATGTGGCTTCGCTAAATACGAGTATCTAATATTTCAAGAACTATTATGAAACTGAAATTATGACAACACTAACTGAATATTAAAAAGAAAAAGATTTAAACCGTTAACATGGTTATAACTTAAATTTAAAATACAAATAATAAAGCGCAGGTTTAAACAATTAGAACTAGAAAGAACAAAAAATGTTTAAAATTAACATTCTAAACTTATGTCATGTTTCTACGTGCAGATTTTGCATTGCAACAAGTAGTTGTTTGCTTATAAATTACAATATCATTGTATTATTATATTATATTGTTTTATTCATTGTATTTTTTATTCATTATAAAATAAAAATATAATATTTATTGGTCAATATAAAATTTGTCATAATCATTATTATTATTATTATTTATTATTTAACTCTTTATTGCACCATAAATAAAAATATACAATGGCAAGTGAATAATTCAAGTGAAATACAGTAACATAAATACAGATTAAAATATACACATAAAGGTACAAAAGGCGGTCTTATCGCTAGGGCAATTTCTTACAGACAATCATTCATCTTTATACCTCAATAAATTTATTTGTTAAAATATTTTGTTTTATTGTAATAAATAATATATTCATGATTCATGTAGTGATTCCATTAAATAATACACTTTTGATATTTTTTTTTCTATACAACTTAGAATGGCAAACAAGCTGACGGCCCACCTGATGAAGTGGTAACCGTCGCCTATAGACATGAGCAGTACCATGGACATAACAGAGTATATTGTTTCGCCCATGATACCTCCCATGCGTTGCCATTCCTGAGGACTCAGGTGTTATTCCGAAACACAGTCATGCAAACACAACTGCTTCACGGTTGAAACACGAATGGGATAGAGGTACCCAAGCAATCGACTTTTGTACAAAGTCTCCCTCTGGTATTATTATATTATTATAAATAAATAAGAAAGGCAAAATAATAAAGTTTTTGATTTGTAATAAATTAAAAATATTAAAGGACATTTTGACAAACTGCACTTGACCTTAGCTGACGTACGCAATGTACATTGTATATTGAAGTTAATTGATTGCGTCAAATATCGACAAGAAAGCGTTCCAGAATGATACATCATGTTGTGTCAAAACAGGCAGGGAGGCGATTAATCATCGCAAACGAATGAGTGAGCGACGCACGTGTGACTAATCTTACACTGTGCCGACCCTCCGGCGTCTAAGCGAAGAAGTCATTGCAAAAATCGTAACCCCGAAAAAGTGACCCTATTTCTGATCTGATTTTGATTTTATGTTCAGATACAGTTTACTCGCATTTTTAATTCTTAATAATTTAGTCATACTTAAAATAGCTGGTTTATTTTTAATTGTTTTTTTTTTTCATTCCAATTCAGTTATACACGTTTATTTATTTATTTAATAAGGTTTACATACAACTTTTACATTTTATATGCCACTTAATCAATAACACAAAAAATATTTTTGCCTAATGTAAAAATCTTTTACAGGCAAACACCACATGCACTATTATAATATTTAATAATTATTAACAATGACAATAACAATATCTGAATAATAAGTAGATCAAGAACTTATGTCTAAGATTTTCATATTCTGACTCATCACCACACCAAAAAGCGGTCCTAAACAATCTTTTTCGACTCCCTGTCACATATTTAAGGTCATTGCCGTATCTGGTCGAAATATCTATATAGAACATATTAAGTTTATATAAACTTTATAATATTAATAAACCCTTTATTGCGCATAAAAGAGATGTATACAAGAAGTATTTATACAGAATATGTAAAGCTGGCCTTATAGCTAAAAGTAATCTCTTACAAACAACCTGACATAAATAATAAATAAATACAGAGAGTAAGGTAGATGGCGCAAGTCAGACACAATAAATATGATAATATTTATATAATAGTGCGCCACCTACCCTTTGTCTTTTTCTCAATGTCCTCTACCCAAAGGTTGTCTGGAAGAGATTGCTTAGCGATAAGGCCGCCTTTTGCATCACTTCTCATTAATATTTACTGTATTTGTTATTTCTCTTTTTACTTGGTTCAATAAAGTGTAAATAAATAAATTTATTAATAAATACAAAAAAAGTAATCTATAAAAATGCAAATTATTCTAAGTATCATTTATATAAAAGTTAGACTAATACGTATATAATATAAATACATAAACATAAATATACTAAATAGATCAAGCTAAATCACACGTAGTAAACATCAAGACAGATTAGAGAGATAGGTAATGAAGTTTTGTTATTGATATTTTTTTTTATTTTTCTTAGTATATTGTAAATACTGTCAAATAAATTTTACCACGATAAAAAAAAAGTGTTATTTTGCTATAATGCATCAATAAATCAAATGTTTCAATGTTTAATCTATTTCCATTACTACATTGCCTTTTTAACAGACTCAAAAATGCAATGTCAAAACATTTTAATTTTTTTTTTCGCAGCAGCAGCATTTTTTTTATTATTTTAAACACTCCCTCCTTCTTGGAGTGTAGCCGGACATTGCTCTCTTATTTTTAAATATATAAATTCATTTCATACTACTTTTTAACCGAGTCTCCGTTCGCGTCAACACAATATTTTAATTGACCGTGATAATATTAATTAACAAACCAAATTAATCCGAGTGACGACAACAAAGTCCTCTCTGCCACGTATTACGTCCTCCATAACGGTTAATACCCGACAAATGTCTTTGGCTACCCCATTAAGGATTACAGTTGTGATCATATATAGCCCCTCACAACTGTAATCATTAAGCTATGTATATATACAGTATAGCCAGATAACGAACGCCATCCGTTATCTCTTATCTTTCAATTAACGCTTCCCTCTCTTAAATTGGGAAAGTTCATCTCTTGGCCATATATCCGTCCCTTTACGTATGAGTCGCCCCTTGATAGGTTTATGGTGGTTGTCATAAACTACGAAGATCACAGAGTTGGCGTTATTGCTGTATGTAATCCGCTAACAGTGGGCAGTGTTACGTTACGTTATTCACGCTAGCATATGCAATGTATTGTCTCTGATTTATATTATGAGGTTTTATATATGTTAATGTATGTTACAAGATTGTATGGATTATCCAGGTACTATATTTGCATCATTTACAGTTTAATTAATTTAATGTACTAACTGTGATTATTAAAAAATATTGTTACTTTTTAAATATTTATATTTGGTCCATATAAAGTTCTAAGAAAGTAGAATGAAAGACAGAATGAAAGAAAGGAATTTTTATTCAGGTAAATAAATAAAAAATACGACACAAAAATGCAACATCTAAGCTTTAAGCATTTAAGCACTTTTGATATGTCATTTTTTTTTCATTACCACTCATTCGGTACACAGATTCAGCCAAGAAGAAAGGGCAAGAAACTCAGTTGATGCTTTTTTCAAAAAGTTTAATTATAAAACACGTAAAGTAATTATTGTATTATAATACATAGATGTTTTGAAACATTTTTAACTTTTGAAGTTTGCATCTAAAACTGTGATACTATACTTATTCTGAGATATGAATCTTTTACATTTCGTACATTATTCCGAGATTAATATTTTAATTTTTGAGGATCAATCAAGTATGGCGTTGTAAGCTATGTTTTCAGTAAATAATGAAACTATAAGGTACAAATTAGTTTTTCCACATTTTTCAATCTGACATAAATCTAGAAATATACATTAAAAAGTCAGGAAATCATTTTCCAACTCTACTTTAATTACTGACTTAACTTACTTATTTACCAGTGCTGATGGTGAATACGTGGTGACAACCATGACGAAAGCCGTACTTCATCATACTGGAAAAGTTCTATGGACCCCACCAGCCATCTTTAAGTCTTCCTGCGAGATCGACGTGCGATACTTCCCATTTGATCAGCAGACTTGCTTCTTGAAATTTGGCTCTTGGAGTTATGATGGGGATCAGGTAAGCTATTTTGAGAATTTTTCATATATATCTTTGTTGTAATTATACAATTGACGTAATAATATACTATTATATATATATATATATATATATATATATATATATATATATATATATATATATATATATATATATATATATATATATATATATATATATATATACATTGCAAATAAAATACGGGCCATCACAGGCAATAATTTAATTTAAATTTAGATTTGTCACACTTTGTTACATTCTGTTATTAAATATTAAATTCGTTTCAATACAAAAATTACACTCATAACAATATTTACCAGCGTTTCCTTATACAATATACGAGTATAAACTAATACTAGCTTTTACCCGAGATTCGGTCCGCGTGTTTGGTATATATTTACTGACCGAGATAAAAAGTATCTATATACTTCTCCGTTTCCGGATAGTATGTGTATACCAAGTTTCATAATAATTAATTAAGCCATTAAGACGGTAACAGATAACAAATAAGCTCAGTTACATACTTATAATATTAATAAGGATTAATCCCATCAATTTAACAGCCGTTTTTATTGTTCATAGTTTTTTTGGATTCTGTTATTACACATTATGTGTGTCAATATAGTAATTTTGCGAGCCCATCCCTATATAAAATTACAATAACATTTACAGGATACGTCATCAATTTAACAATATCTGTGACTTTGTCACATTCCATTATAACACATTATGTTCGTGTCAATATAACACGAATGTAAGTTCACTCGTGACAGTCCGCGAGCCTATCTCTATAAATGAACGCATAATAGACAAAACATAGATTCAGTCGCAGGCTAAATCCCAATTTGCACTGGTGTGTCACTATGTCACACTGATCGTACTAGTTCTGTATTTTCAGGAGTTCGCAAAGCTCAGTTAAGCTCGCTATATGCTGTACGAGTACAATCACGCGCGCTTAGTAATATTTTGAATTTGCTTAGATTAATGTAATATCATAATGTTTAAATGTTACTATAATATTTATTTATTTATTAATGCTTATGCTTACTTGTTGTATAAATAAGTATTACGAAATTTAAGTGAAGTGATACGAAGGGCATTCTTATGGCTATTCTATTTCTTCCTTTTAGTAAAAGATATTTAGAAGAAAAAGATAAAGAATGATAGCGCATTACAATATAAAAATATATCCTTACATAGAAAAATATTATAATAATTATCATATCAGCCCTTAGCTGTCTACTGCTGGACATAACCCCCCCTCCCCCTCCATAAGAGCGGTTTTCTCAATAGTAGCCACGCTGTGCCTTTTTATGGGACCAGACCCACTCTTAAAAAATAACCTTAAGTACACTAATGCAATTTTACGGAGTTGCATGACTTATATAATTTTTTTTTATTTTAGATCGATTTAAAACACATTAATCAGAAGAAAGGAGATATGGTAGACGTTGGCATCGATCTTCGGGAGTATTACCCTTCAGTGGAATGGGACATTTTGGGGGTTCCAGCTGAACGCCACGAGAGATACTATCCCTGCTGTCAAGAGCCATATCCAGGTATGGAGTTTTTCATTATTTATCAAACCGCAAGACGAGCCTGTACTAAGGTGCCTCAATTTCACTGTCTCTGAGCAGAACTGTGATTCATTTTTTAGCATAGGATATGGCAGTGAAATTACCGAATGCGAGAGTATAACATCTTAGTCCTTAGGAATGGTATCGCATGAGAGCATGGGCCTCAGTGAATCCCGGGATACACTGTGAGGCATGCTGGAAACTGGCTGGCACTGGATGGCAAGCCATCTAGTGGGACGTCAACTTGTTTCCAGTGAGGGGAAAAGAATTGATCGGGTTTACCATTCCATTTTCACCCATTAAAAAGAAACTTGTTTGCAGTTCTAAATATTATAAAAAAAAATTATTGTCACGACGAATTTTGTGATATGCAAAGTGCTGTTCATGTACACAAGCGACGGATACTTCTTTCCATTAAATGAACTGCCAGCTTGAATAAAAATAACGTAAGTACCAATTTTGAATCGAGTAACCTTTATTAATACCACTTAATACTTTGACCTTTATTAATCCCTAGTGACGTTTCCGCCTCCTTCGCGACATTTCCAATTTAGAAATGCCTTATAGAATATTTTATTCTCGGCTCAATATTATTGATTAACGATAATTTATTAATATCTCAAATGATTTTTTTTTTCTATTTTCTAATCATTTAAGGAATTCGATAATAATTTAAAATTATGCTTCACAGAAATACGGACTTTAATTGTGACGAAACCAGACATTTTGTTTTAAAAACGTAACTACTGAACTGATTTTGACAAATGACAAAATGACAAACTAAAAAGAACAACCGAAATAAGAACCTCTTAGTTTTTGAAGTTGGTTAGAAAGCAGGATTTTTTCGCTACTATTCTAATTTTTGAATTCGCACCACTCAGAATGAGTCCAAAGCATCGCAATTCCTTCGCACCCCCGTCTGTTGGAGTTATAAAGTAACAAACCAAAAAAAAAAAAAAAATAGCCGAATTAAGTGCCTCCTACTTTTTGAAATTTATTAAAAAGTACGAAAAAAAATTTTTTTTTACTGCTATACTGACCTTTGAGTTCGCACCACTCAGAAACGGTCTAAAGCATAGCAATTTCTTCGCATCCCCGTATCTGATTAATCGCTGAACGGCACACCTATATCACCACGATCTGTATTCACGGCGTGACGTTAACGTAACCCGTGAGCATTAGTAAAACAACCGTTTAACCTGTACTTGTATACTTGTAGACGTAAAACGCAGTAATTTAGCATAGATAAGCGTCGACGTGCCGCGCCGTAAACAACTCGAGATTACCGGTGTACCGTACAAGTTTGGGGTTTGCGCAAATTTTGCTACTACCCACCTACAAGTATTTTTTTTTTATCTTAATAACATTGTTACTTTTTGTTAATTTTTAACTTGAACATTCAGAAAAAGAACCTCATATCTCCGTCATTTGTAAACGGATAGGGAATTTTTTTTTTAATTATAATAATTAAATATTTTTTATTCAAGTACACTTAATAATAAGTATTTTTGAATAGTCACTTTTTTTATAAATCTACCGCCCAGTTCGAAATGCAATTTCAGCAAAGAAAAACGGGCAAGAAACACAGCCGTTGATTTTTTCAAGTAAAAGTGAAGTTAAAGAGAGGATTCATTATTTTTTGTTCAAATTAGTATGGAACATAACTATGATGGCATACTTGATAAATCATAAATTTTTTTTTATAATTGTCCAATTTGTCACTGTTGAGTATAAAAAAAAAATATAAATATAAAAAAAAAATATTTAAAGATATATCGGGTGTTATAATTTTTTCAAACAATAAGTAGGTACTCCAAGACTTGGATCGAGATTTGACGCGATGTGACCTAGAGGGCGCTTAGAGTTTTCTACGTGAAACGATTTCTAGACAAATGTTACATCAATTTTATGGAAATTTCAACTTTCTTAATCTTTTAAATCACTTTGAATACGTTCCAGAATAGCTTTCAATATCTGTTTGAAAGTATCTATCATTTATTTTTTGAACTACGTCTACTAGAAATACGTCAATAAAAAGTATTAAAAGTTTTTAGACACGGGACATGCATAAAAATGGCCACTTAGACTCATCGAAAGGTCACAGGTTATTCCCAAGTTGATATGATTATTTGTATAGCTTAAGTTATTAAGAGTACATTATGTTTTTTATATCAGCATTTAACTGTCCACAGCTGAACCAGGTTTAGCCATTAGTTGCCATGCTTGGCAGGTGGATTGGCAATCGCAGTAGGCTCTAGAGGGGGGAAAGGGATTGTTAGTAATGGAGACTGAGAATCCCATTGCTAGCAATATACCCAACCAGGTCAACCTCCTCGCGGTTCTCCCTGGAAACTATCATGGTTAATTCCTGATGAATTCATCATGATGGGCTAACTGGCCTGTTTTCATTCTCATCTATCACCCTCCACTGGTGGGTAGCTCCGCCAGCGTATTCCGTTAGCGCAGGCGGGTTACCATACCATTTTCACCCATCAAAAAAAAAGTAGGCTCTAGAGATGTTTTAAAAGAGACGCTGCTGCCCATCTCTCGATCTTCCTTAATCGCCTTTTTCGACACCCACGGAAAAGGAAGCTGTGGCTTTATTCTATGCAAGGACCACACTGCACTTTATTCAAACAAAATATTACTTGCATGCCAATTTTACTTAATAAATGGCAAAGAATTTTTCTAAAAAAAATATATTATTACTGGATACGGCGTACCATCACAAAACATTTTGAAAACACCACTCGCAATTTCTTTAATGTTGCAGCTACCTATGGGCAGCGGTAATCACTTACCATCAGTAGAGTCGCATGCTCGTTTGCCCGTACGTTATAAAAAAAATAAAAATCCAAATCTTTCTTCAGCGCCTTTATGCAAAAGGTGTAACTCGTAAAATACGAAAACCTAGCGTTACATTTTCAAACAAATGATACTTAATCACAAACCATTACACGTGAGAGATCCGTATCATATTTTATATTACCCCTGATATTTGAGTACACACCGTCGTTTAATTAATTTGTTCTCGAACACGCCTTGCTTACGAACACCGTATCAAAGGTTAACAGTTTCTTATTCTGAAACGTACTGACAGAATTGTGAAATAAATTTGCCTCGGTCCAAATTTTAAAGTTATTTATTTATTTATATATTTACTCGTATATGCTTTTGTACATTCACATTTGCATAACATGTAATTTACTATTATGTAATTTAAATACATCAGTTTTAATTATACTAAATATATATACATTGTTATCAGCTCTTAACTATCCACTACTGAACATAGGCTTCCCCTTAAGGGGTTTTGCCAGTAGTTGCTATGCTTAGCAGGCAGATTAGCAACTGTAGTAAAGCTTTGGTGATGTTTTAAGAAGGACGCTGCTACCCATCTCTCCTACGACATCTACGGGAATATATATAGTATATAGTATATATATATATATATATATATATATATATATATACATACATATATATATTTAATTGTTTTATATAGTAATATTTTACGTAATTATTGTATGTATATATTTATTTATTTAATATATGATGTGTATGTTTATTTTATATGGATTTATCAAATATTGCTTTATTTTTTTCTCTATTCAAAAATACAGCGCCTACGTATTTCTCTGTTTGCCCAATGATTAACTGGTAGAGAACACCGTCCGGTGTTAAGTACGCCAAATGTAAAATAGAAATTTATTGTGCATTAAAGTTTATATATGTATATATATATATATATATATATATATATATATATATTATTTCTTATTTTTTTAAAAAATATTATAAATATATAAGTGCAACTATAAGGTATGACCTGTTTATAAAATTATAGCCAGAAATAAATAAATAAACAAATTCACCTTCATATTTATTATATTAGTAAGGATCGTATATGTATGCTGCTTAAAACACAGTATATTGCGAAAGACGTGCTTGCCGACAAAATTCATTATTATTTCAATAGAAACGTTTGGACTGGAGTGGGATGACCTCATAAAACCTTACGTGGATGGAAGCCAATGTACTGTTGGCCGAATCAGGGATCTGCCGGGGGCCCTGGGGATTGGGGTATTAACGAAAAACGGCCCCCGGGCTGTCGTCACGTATTTCACCATTGGTATTCGTATCTCTAAAAAATGAGCCGAAGTTTGAATCCGTCTTTGGGTATTTCGCTTTGGTGGCTATGTCACTAAATTGGATAAATCCTGTTAAGTTCGTGAGGTTAGCCGTACTTTGTACTAGCTGCCTGCCCCGGCTTTGCACGAGTACACTTTTCCGTAAAAATTTTCTAATATTTTCTTTTATATCAACCTTGCCCGTATAATTATAAACATAACAAAAAGTAAATTAGCAAAATAGTTGCAGCCGTTCTAAAATGAGCTGCTTATATATGTATATATATTTAAATTCAGGGATTTGTTTTTATTTAAATAAATAGATTAGGTACAGTTAGCGATGGTATCTTTTTGTCAATTAACCTTTATTTTTATTACTGCCTCATATTTAAAAGAGATTTTTTCGAACGGTCGAAAAACAGCATCTAGAGCAACAAGATTTTGCATGGACAATTTAGTTGGAAATATTTAAATTTGGAACAAGGAAAAGTATGTTTATAAGTAAATTTTATAATGTTTTATGATTTTGTTCCACAAAAACAACCGCTGACTTCAATCGTGACATAAACCATTTATTATAAATTCAAAATTAAACCACTGAACCGATTTTGATATAATTTCCATGAGTTCAATCTGAAAATATATACTTTCAGATAAAAAAAATGTAATAAGTTTATGAATGACGGTGTTATGAAGTAACAAGTATAAAAAAATACAACCGACTTGAGAACCCCTTCTTTGTTCAAAATTAGCTGAAAAAGATTTTTCGCAGAATTATCTACTTTTTAAGAGGGCTCAAAATTTCCCATGGCACCAAATTAAAATTTCAAAATATTAAACCCAATAACCCAT